GTTGTTAGAGGTTTTAATAACAACTGTTGGTCACGTAGGTCATAAAGGGGGAGCCACAATGACATCAGTTAGCCACTCTACTATAATTGGAAGCTGCATGAGCAATGAGCCACAAAGGTCGTAGCTGGTCGCATAAGCTGTAGGGATGTGTTGTAATAACATCAATTGAGGAGTTGTGATAGCATCAGTTAGCAACCGAGATTGTAGATGAAGTCTTTAATAACAACAGTTCGTCACGTAGTCCATGGTGGGGAGCTGCAATAACATCAGTTGGCCACTTAGGCTATATGAAGCTGTATAAGTAGTGAGCCACATAGGTCATAATTGATTGTGTAAGACATAGTGGGGAGCTATAATAACATCAATTGGTAGCTGAAGTCGTAGTTGGAAGTTCAAAATGCAATGAGCCACATTGGTTGTAGTTGGTCACATATATACATATAACTACTTTGATGATATTGGAACTGAGTAATCTTAGACTTGTTAGATTTGTCTCACCGAGATGCTCGATTTGACTATAAATTTTCTAGATTTTAAACTCATTTAACATTCCAATTAACCACTCAAAGCTTCTAAAAGTGGTGGGATGACTTGATTTGTGTCTCATTTGATTCATATTTGACAGTTTTGGTATCATTGGTTCGCCTCGTTGAGCTGGTCTGCTTGACTGTATGCTTGTTGAAAATGAGGTTCTTGATGATTTTTAATTTGACTTTGAATGTTTCTTGCTCAATATATATATATATCGAGATTCATGTCATGTCTCAATATTCATGTCAAATGATAACAATATGCTCATTAAGTATCACGAAAAATAAAAAGCTGTATTTTAGTTAAAATTTTAAAATAATGATATTTTTGATATGACATAAAAAATTTAAGCAGTGAAAATGTCAATAAAAAAATTTAAACAATAAAATATAAAATATGAATTCATAGTAATGTAGGCCCACATATGATGGTGATATCCGAGTACTTTTTTTTCCCTCAAATAAATAAAAGAGTTCTCTGTCAAGTTGATGTAGCGTGCACTAGCTGATTAACGAAGTAGGGATAGTAGGAATTATAATGTATAAATGCAGATCTTCTATGACAAAAACAGAATTATTAAATTATGGGAAAATTTAGGTACATATCAAATATTTTTAGGTATTATGTTCTCTAACACTTAAAGTTTAGTTATAATTATAATATTTTGGTGTTATTCCTAAAAGTATTGTTAAATCCAAATGTACTCGGAAAACACACCCAAAAAATAGAACTTCCTACTAGAAAGTGATTAGGGAGAGATAGATAATAGTAGATGACAGTTAAAAAAAGAGTGTCAGACCTCTATTTATAGACTAGGATCCTAACATTACAAAAGTACATATTAGTCTTATAATCATTAACTTTTCAAATGGACTTTTGGTGATTACAGAGTTATTTGCATATAATAAGATCAGGACTAATACAATAGATGAGGGTTGTCGATTGTCTGGTAAGTCTTGATTCGATCGATATCTAGTATGAAAAAGTGCTCTACGTCGATTGTTCTGAAGGCTTATTACCGCCATGCGAAAGGTACTCTTGGCTCATTCTGTCTATCATTCAAACAATACGCTTTTCTTACCAATATTCAGCCAAAAAATGATCATTGAAGGCTATGTTTGATCATCTGCATCTTCTTCCCGAGCTGTTTATCTGCTTTGAGATTCATGTTGACACATTTTTATATGTACAACCATGTATTTCATTTAAGAAAATAATGATAATAATCTAATTGATGTGATGTTAAATATTTGAGTAGATTTATGTAAATATCAATGTTTAGATGTTAGATATTATACATAAAAAAATATGTTAGCAACAATCTTTAGAAAATTTAACATGCCAAAAGATAAAGAAGTACGACTAGGGGCCCACAGAAGGAAGCCCAAAAGTTCAATTATTAGAAGTTTAAAGGACTTAATTGACCAAATGCAGCTCCCTTAGATTGGGACCCGAAGCCACCTGATGCGGGCCATTCGAACCAAAAACCAATATATATTAAGCTAAGAGAAGGCATCGACCCAACTCTCGCCCGTTCAATGCCAGCCATCTCATAATAGCTTTCCAGACTCTTCATCAGAAATTTGAGGATTTTATTAGGATATACTCCACAAACAACCACAAAAACATTTCATCAAATACGATGATTCACCTTCTGTCCAAAAGTCTAGTCTCATAATGAGGACAAATGCTTCTGATCCAAGAGTCGATAGTCAACATCTTGAGCAAAGCAACCGATCGATAGACTTAAGCCGATTAAGAGTCAAACGACAACCCTAAATCAATATAGGATAATGAACGAGCCTTGCCGAATAAAGGCCACTTATCTCAACCAATCGACTAATAGAGTAGCCAAACCACGTTGTCATTTATGTAAATACCTAAAATACTTGGTAACACTCCCATAAAAACAGGGGGTAAAGCATGTAACTCTATACTCTGTACCCCCTATTCTATAAATAGCAGGATAATTTCTTGAATAAGGGCGAATCGAAAATCTATTATACTATTCATTATTGTTCACACAGACATTTTTTTTTTCTCTTCTGTTTTATGTTCTATTTCTTGGGATTCAGATGCAACAAATATGTGAAGATATCAGAATTATGTGGTATTTATGTAAATGCCCCTAAATTATGATATCTTACAAATCATAAACTCCTTGTTTTTTTTGCAATTTTCATTCTCTTAGATAAAACCCCAAAAACAAAACTCCACCTAGAAGACAATTTAATTCTCCAATACAATAACAAACTGAATTATATCCAAGACCATAAAAATTAATTACATATATAAACCAAATCACGTTTTTACAAATAAAATAAAGTGAAAGGCGAAAAAAAATATAAAATCAAACCAACCGCCTGCACGACAAAACTTACTGCAGAAGTTTCAGATCTTCCACTTGATCAACGACAATGGCAGAAAACATATTGTTTCTCCAACTAAAACTAAAATTGGGGTAGAAGGAATAAGAGTTTCGAATTGTATTGTCCAAAATAGTACAGAAAAAAAAAAATCACATAATAATTAAATAATTAAATACAACATGATTTATGTGGTTTGGCGCAAATTGGCCTACGTCTACAATGAAGAGTTATTCCACAGCAGATGGGAAAAAAGGAAGATGATTGAAATATAATTACAACTTCACACACTTAAATCAATATTGATTCCTCCTATAAATAAGAGAAACATTGGGCATACTCATTTGTACAGACAAAATCTCTGACACGACAAATTTGCCGATAAAGCTTTGGATGTGATGACAAGTAATAAAATATAACATAAAAAACTCATAACGTGCTAGCAAAATTGTAACAAAAATAAATTTTTTTAATATTAATATTAAACTCTCCTTTTCATTCAAGAAAAACATTGCATGGTGCGGATGAGGTACAAATCAGTGGTATTGAGATGATATTGGCGTGGTATTGAGGTGTTATATCACCAAAATATCATCTGATTACCACTGAACTCACGTAACATTCCCTTCTAGACCAGATCCCATTGTTTTTTTTTTTCTTTTTCGGATTTTCAACATAACAACTTCTGATATCCCTCAATAAGCTCTTCTTTTATCCATGTGTATGATCTGATCTAATAATAAATATTTTTATAATTTTTTTTTATAAAATATTATAAAAATAATTGTTTTAAAAACTTTTTCTAATTACATATGCTCTTATAATCCTCAAATCGTAACAAATATTACCGCATAATGTTGCGGGCCAACAAGATTGGTGCGGGCTAAATCATTAAATGCATGTTCTAACTTACTTTTTTTGCCTGTTTATAATAATGGGATATATATTATAATTATTGTAGCACGAGGACTTAAATATAAAACACGCATGATTCATATTTGTATTTATGTCATTAAAATCCTTAACATATTATAAATATAAACATCAAATTTTAATTGTTAGATATGTAAATATGAAAAAGGGCAAAAATTACTTAACGCATAATATCACTATTTTAGTACCTAATGTTTGATATTTACATGCATATATAGCAATTAAATATCTCAAAACACATTGCAATATTTACATAAAAGTTTGTTAGATATAAAAAATATGAGCTCTTACACAATAGTAGTCTTTCATATCTTAAAAAAAATATCATTTTTTATTTTTGAAAAGTGAAATATAACTTTTTAGCATATTTAAAATGACATATATATACATATATAGATGTAAAAATGAAAAATTAGTTGTTAGAGATGTAAATACATAAGAATTAACTGGTATGCATGTAAATCTTCCTAAAAATTAGTATTAATGATATTTTTGGTGATTTAAAATTTTAAAATTTCAATGATAGATATTTAAATACATAAACTAATGTTGTATGCATGTTAATACTATAAATACGAAAAATTATTTAATATGGTGAACGCACGGCAGAGTTGTGTGCGGTTACCCAATAAAAAACAACTCAGAAACAACCATTCCTTTAAGCGCACATTTTCTATCAGGACACCTGACGTACCTCTACGTGCGGTGCAGGTTATTCCTGAGTTATTTTAAGATTATTTCTGGGTTAATTTCAATAATCTCGAAATAACCCAAAAATAACAAAAAAATAAAGACCGCGGGTTATTTCTGTGTTATTTCGAGATTATTGAAAATAACTCAAAAATAACCTGAAAATAACTCAGGAATACCCTGCGTCGCACGCAGAGTTACGTCAGGAGTTCGCACAGAAAAATTTTGCTCCATAAGAAGCTATATGGAAGTGGACCCCACTTTAAAATTTTGATTTTTTTAATAATATTTATTACGGGGCGTAAAATAATTATAATTGGAGGGTGTAGGTTCGGATTACATGAGTAATAAGCGCTCTGTAAATAAATCCTAGATTTTGGTAGGAAACGAAGTAAAATATAACATAAAAATCTTTAATTTTTCATGTTTGTCGCATGAACAAGAAAAAATTTCTGAAGAGCAAAGGTGAAAAATTATTACCATAGTTGATGGAGGAGAGATCCATATAAATGCCACTCAGATCTCTGCGCAACTTCCAACTATTCCGGAGCAACTCCAGATTGCCTTGACAACACAAAGAAAGAGAGAGCGAGCGAGAGGGGCAGAGCATCCATGGAAAATCAACCCCTTATCCGGCAATCGTCCACCATGGTGGGAGTAGTAGACTACCGCGGCCGACCTATCTCCCGATCATCTTCCGGTCGCTGGACCTCCGTCCTCTTTATCATAGGTAAGCTCGCCTCTATCATCTTCCTTTTCGTTCATCACCTCTATGAATACCTCTCTTGTTGTCGTCAGGGGCTGAGATCGCAGAGAGAATGGCGTATAACGGCATCTCCTTCAACCTCATAAGCTACCTCACCGGCCCCCTCAAGATCTCGACGGCCGCAGCAGCCTCCTCAGTCAACAACTGGTCCGGCGCCTCCATGCTTCTTCCCCTTCTCGGCGCTTTTGTCGCCGATTCCTTCCTCGGCCGCTACCACACCATAGTTCTTGCCTCTCTTCTCTACGTCCTGGTTAGCCCCACTCCTCGAAAACCCTTTTTTTCTTAATCTCTCTCTCTCTCTCTTTCTGTTCATTATTCGAATCAATTAGTTTTCATCGATTTGCAGAGTCTTGGGTTGCTCACTCTCTCTGCCGTGCTTTCAAGCCCCTGCTCAGGAGACCTATTACCTACTTTAAATTCATCTTCCTGTTCTCCAGCTGTTTTCCATGTTGTTTTGTTCTTCCTGTCTCTCTATCTCGTCGCCTTTGCGGAAGGAGGGCACAAGCCTTGTCTTCAGGCGTTTGGCGCCGACCAGTTCGACGATAGTGATAACCAAGAGCGCATTGAGAGAAGTTCATTCTTCAATTGGTGGTACTTTGGCATGAATATTGGTATGTTTGCTTCCTTCATTGTATTTAGCTACATCCAGGAAAGCATTGGCTGGAGCTTTGGATTCGGAATCCCTTGTGCTGTTATGGGCATTGCTCTTCTTGTTTTCTTGTTGGGAAGTAGGACTTACCGCTGCTATCCCTTGGAGGATACAAACCCATTTGTTAGGATTGGCAAAGGGTTTGTTACTATGGTCACGAGCAGGCAATCCTCTGCTGATCGTTTCACATTTGAAGTAGAAGCCAGAGACTCGGAACAGCACTGCGGCTGTCATTCTGATCAATACAGGAAGTAAGATTTCTTTTTTCTTGCTGTCAGATTTTCAATATTTGGATCTCACGTTACAAACTTAAGCTTTTAGATTGGTTCTAATTATTGATTAACATTTTGGAGGGGCTTGGTATCTATTCTTATTCCAGCAATATTAAATTATACATGTATGCACCACAACTGCAAGCACGAATTTCGAAGCATTTGAACGGCCCAGACGATGGCCGGACAACAAGGCGTCCTACCGCCCTACTGCAAACCGCGTGACCAAGAATCGATCGACACAACATGGCGAGAGATTCGAATTGCAGATCACACCGATAGTCTGGTCGTAGGCCGGAATCCTTGATGTCAGCTAATCGGTCGACCTGCCTTTACCACGTAGGATGAGTTCGACATTTGAATAGGTTGTTCGACGGACTGATACATCCTTTAGAGAGACACAACCGCCACTCAGACGGTCGCCTCAGTGTCAACCAAATTCAAGCAAGTCGGCCATCAATTATAATCATGTTAAAATTCAAATTATAATGCAGATATGGTATGAAATTTATATGATCAATAGGGGTATCTGTTGTATTAAGGGCGCTTTCTATAACCGTTTCCTCCTTTCTATAATTGTACAAAATATACTTCTAAAAATAGAAGATAAAAATATGAATAAAGAAACCATTATCAATTCTCTCTACTGGAAACTACTGACTTGCAATACTCTCTTTCTCTCTTCTTCCTTCACTCAATCTTAAACTCTCGGAGTGTGTTCACAAAAGACAATTTAGGATCCAACATCCTAAGAAGTGGTGCAGTTAGTATGGATATACTACAAATGAGAAGTGGAAAAAAACTGTGAAGGAGAAGCTTTCCAAAGAGAGATACCACACATGAAATCCAATAGAGATGCTACACAACCAGACGTCAATCCAAAAATCCAGGGCTCACGAGCCAAAATGACCCTTGTGATGGAGCAATTCGAGATGCTCCTGACAGGAATCACATAGAGGAATGACCAACAACCTTGTTGGAGGTGGAACCTCATGGGCTCTGTGCTCAAAGGCCCCCACCGACGAACTTGCCTACTCTAGACAACCAAGTCAGCAACCAGCGGATGGAGGGACAAGGTGAGTCCCAGCACACCGACACCGGTGCATCTGCAAAGGAGAACAAGCGATGGGAAGAACATATGCGAGTGCTTGTTGGGCCGCTTGTAGGAGGGGCATTCACTCACCAAATCAAAGAGGTGATACCCTTGCCCAAGCTAAGGATCCCTCATCTAGATTCTTCTAAAGGGAGGACCGACCCGATCGACCACGTAGCGTCGTTCGAATCATCCATCGGTCTGCCCTTAATCGATGATCCTATAATGTATCGTCTATTCTTAACCATTTTGAAGGAGTTGGCCCTTCGGTGGTTCAACGGTCTGCTGACCGAAACCATCCCGAGTTACTATGAATTCAAAAGACTCTTCGTTTCACACTTTTTAAGCGTATAAAAGCCGAGGAAAGACTAAGACACTCTCTTGACCTCAAGAAAGAATAAAATGAGAGCCTGTAAGTCTACATCACCTACTTCCAGAATGAGGCTGGAAGTTAGAAATCTGAAGCCCAACATAGCCAAAACAACTTTGAAATGAGGAGTATGAAGCAAGCAATTCAAGTATGATCTAAATCTGTTTAAATCTACTACTTTTTTAGAGGTAATGGAGATGACGAACAAGCACATATTTGTCGAAGAACTCCAAGGCTCCCCAAAGGGTAAGCCAGAGTCGCCTGACCATCCCTCAAAGAAGCAAAAGGAACAGGGCGAAAGGCGAAGGACAATCAATCATTCGTCGGTAGCTCGAACAACAACTCTCGATCCTGGGATCAGCGGGGGAAGATCGAGGGCATCATGATCGGAAGTGGTACCTGATCAACGGTCGGTCCAATATTACCAGAGACCGCATGTTTATCGGGAAATGCAGGGTTTGACGCTTCTTAATATGTTGATGGCTGAAATAGTCAAGACAATTCAAAATAAAGACTACTTCAAACTGGCCTCGCCGCTGAAGGGGGCCCTGACCTTATGAGATTCGAAGAGATACTGCCAATATCATTGTGACCACGACCGCAAAACAGAGGATTGTCATCACCTCCAAAATCTGATTGAGGAGCTCATTCGTGCCGGGAAGCTCAAAGAACTTACTACAATCGACGCGCACACACACCGGCAGGGCAAAACTCTATGAGGAGAACCCTCAATCGGGCCTTTTTGGGCGAACGAGGTCCATGTTGCGGGATAATCCTGACTATCTTTGGCGGTGGAACCCGACCCTCCATCGTGAAAAGACAATATTCGGAAGAGGTATGCTCCGTCACCCCATATGCCATAACCATTTGTCAATTATCTTCACAGATACAAGTCTCCCACCGAAGGGGAACCTCCTCAATGGGGCCATTGTTGTCATAACACTGATAAAAAACTATCAGGCGGGTAATATTCTCGTTGATATAAGGTTTCTGTGAATATCTTGTTCATGATGGTGTTCGATAGGATTGGCTTGAAGCCCGACAGGTTGACATCATAATTGATTCATTGCTCGGATTCTGTGGGGAAAGAAAGGAGGCGTTGGGCCTCATTACCCTAGCCATCTCTTGGGAAGAAACAAAGAAGCAATATACAAACACGGAAGATTTTCTCGTGGTAGAATTCCCACCAATCTACAATGCTATCTTTGGTCGGCCACTTTTGAACGACTACCGGCTGGTAACTTCTACCTACCATGTGGTCGTAAAATTTTTGGGCGACAGAGAGCTGATTTTGGTTTAGAGGGAATTTGGAGCATTCTATAATCTATTATTTGTGAGCACATGAACTACTCGATATACAGATGCAGAGAGAGGGGGTTTCGAGGCCAGTGGGACCGTCTTCCAGGTACCAGTATCCGACGAAGAATCCGATAAAATCTTCCTAGTTAGTGAGCATTTTGGTAGAGTTCGACGTCATAAACAACTAGGCGGAGTATGAAGTATTGATCGTCGGACTCCTCCTAGCCTATGAGATAGGCACTCAAGACCTCCTAGTGCGGTCAAACTCCTTGCTGATCGTGAATTAGGTTAGGAGGGCGTTTGAAGCCAGAGTGCGCTGATGGCAGATACCTCGCCAAGACGAAGGATGAAATTGGCAAATTCAAGGGCTTCCGTATCAAACACGTCAGTCGAGAGAAAAATCAAGTTGTTGACATCCTCTTGAAATGCGTTTGTTTGGGAGGAGTATCCAGAAAACTCATTGTGCTGACGATCGACGAACCGGAGGCCATGGAGGTAACGATTAACAAGACCAAGAGCTGGGTGGATCTTTACATCCACTATCTGTAGAATTCGAAGATAGAGAGGAACATTGAAGATCCGAGGCACTTTAAAATTAAAGCCACTCTATACCTATTAATCGACGTAAAGTTGTTTAGAAGTCGGTTATGTCGGTATACCTGAGGTGCTTAAGAGAGGGCAAAGTCCAAGCGGTGCTCTGGGAAATGCATTCCGGAAAATGTGGTAGTCACTCTGGAAGAAAAACTCTAGCTCACCGCATGCAATGACAATGATACTTTTAACCGACGCTTTTAAGGATGGGGCAGAATTTTCAAAAGATGCGAACAATATAAAAAATACGTGCCCTTACATCATTAGCCTTCTCGGAAGCTACAACCGGTCGTCAGTCCTTGGTCGTTTGCCACATGGGTACTAGACATTTTGTGACATTTTCATCCTTCAAAAGGTCATAGGAAGTTCCTCTTGGTTGGCGGTCGAATATTTTTCAAAATGGATCGAAGCGAAACCGCTCGCTCAAGTCATTATAGAGGTAGTCTGAAATTTCATATGGTCTGACTAGATCTGCAAATATGTGTTGTCACTTGTCATCATCACCGACAATGAGACTCAATTTGCGGACTAGCGAGTGAAAGATTTCTACACGAGGCAAGGAATTGATCTAAATTTCACTTCAGTACATCATCCTAGGACGAATAGGGTCGAAGCAGCTAATAAACTCATCTTGAATCTATTAAGGAAAAAAGTCAAAGGAGCCCAGGGAAACTGGGCGAAACTACTACCATCGGTGCTCTGGGCAATCCGAACGACGCTTTCTATGGCAACCGGACAAACTCTGTTCATGCTAACTCATGGAATGGAAGCCGTATTACCGATAAAATACGATCATCATAGCCAAAGGATCGTTACGACCTCCTCATTCCCCGACGATGATCTGATCGAGTAGCAGCATGCTAGCATTGAAGGGGCAATGTTGATCCTCGTTCTCACGGAAGAAACTCAAATCCGCTTCGCACTCCTACAGAAGGAAATCAAGAGGTGAACCGCCCGTTATTTCGACAAATATGTTCGAGGTAGACTTTTGCCCCGGGTGACCTTGTCCTAAAGAAAGCCAACGCAGCAGCTCGCACGCAAACGATCCGTAAGTTACACCAAACTTGGAGCTGACCTTATATAGTCAGCCAACGCATCTCGTCCGGAGCCTATCGACTGAAGACATACACCGTAAAAGAACTCCCCGTGGACGTGGAGTCGAGAAGACTTAAAAAAGTTTTTTTCCTTAAAAAGCTTTCTGATTTCTTAATTATATCCCTTGTATACATGAAGGTAAGTGTCGTTACTTATTGTAATTTTGATTAACGCAATGAAAGATAAGCTAATTTCTTACTTCAATGCCTTAGCTCTCTAAGACATTTATTGTAATTTATATATATATCTAATTATTTCAAGCCAGAACAAGCCGAACACTAGCTGTTCACGAATAACGAGCAATATTGGTAGTTTTTATTTTTTACATGATATTGAACCCTTATTCTTTTAGGTTCCGTGTCAAACACGTCAGTAGAGAGAAAAATTAAGTTGCTGACATCCTCTTGAAATGCGTTTGTTTGGGAGGAGTATCCAGAAAACTCATTATGTCGGCGATCGATGAACGAACCGGAGGCCATGGAGGTAACGATTAACAAGACCAAGAGCTGGGTGGATCTTTACATCCACTATCTGTAGAATTCGAAGATAGAGAGGAACATTGAAGATCCGAGGCACTTTAAAATTAAAGCCACTCTATACCTATTAATCGACGTAAAGTTGTTTAGAAGTCGGTTATGTCGGTATACCTGAGGTGCTTAAGAGAGGACAAAGTCCAAGCGGTGCTCTGGGAAGTGCATTCCGGAAAATGTGGTAGTCACTTTGGAAGAAAAACTCTAGCTCACTGCATGCAATGACAATGATACTTTTGACCGACGCTTTTGAAGGATGCGGCAAAATTTTCAAAAGATGCGAACAATATCAAAAATACGTGCCCTTACATCATTAGCCTTCTCGAAAGCTACAACCGGTCGTCAGTCCTTGGTTGTTTGCCACATGGGTACTAGACATTCTATGACATTTTCATTCTTCAAAAGGTCAGAGGAAGTTCCTCTTGGTTGGCGGTCGAATATTTTTCAAAATGGATCGAAGCGAAACCGCTCGCTCAAGTCATTATAGAGGTAGTCTGAAATTTCATATGGTCCGACTAGATCTGCAAATATGGGTTGTCACTTGTCATCATCACTGACAATGAGACTCAAATTGCGGACCAACGAGTAAAAGATTTCTACACGAGGCAAGGAATTGATCTAAAGTTCGCTTCAGTACATCATCCTAGGACGAATAGGGTCGAAGCAGCTAATAAACTCATCTTGAATCTATTAAGGAAAAAAGTCAAAGGAGCCCAGGGAAACTGGGCGAAACTACTACCATCGGTGCTCTGGGCGATCCGAACGACACTTTCTTTGGCAACCAGGCAAACTCTGTTCATGCTAACTCATGGAATGGAAGTCGTATTACCGATAAAATACGATCATCATAGCCAAAGGATCATTACGACCTCCTCATTCCCCGACGATGATCTGATGGAGTAGCAGCGTGCTAGCATTGAAGGGGCAATGTTGATCCTCGTTCTCACGGAAGAAACTCAAATCCGCTTCGCACTCCTACAGAAGGAAATCAAGAGGTGAACCGCCCGTTATTTCGACAAATATGTTCGAGAGTAGACTTTTGTCCCGGGTGACCTTGTCCTAAAGAAAGCCAACCCAGCAGCCCGCTGGCAAACGATCGGTAAGTTACACCAAACTTGGAGCTGGCCTTACATAGTCAGCCAACGCGTCTCGCCCGGAGCCTATCGACTGAAGACGTACACCGTAAAAGAACTCCCCGCGTAAAAGAACGCCCCGCGGACGTGGAGTCGAGAAGACTTAAAAAAGTTTTTTCCTTAAAAAGCTTTCTGATTTCTTAATTATATTGTATACATGAAGTTAAGTGTCGTTACGTATTGTAACTTTTGTTAATGCAATGAAAGATAAGCTTATTTCTTACTTCAATGCCTCAGCTCTCTAAGACACTTACTCTAAGACATTTATTGTAATTTATATATATATCTAATTATTTCAAGCCAGAACAAGCCGAACACTAGCTGTTCACGAATAACGAGCAGTAGTGGTAGTTTTTATTTTTTACATGATATTGAACTCTGATTTTTGTAGGTTGGTTGTTATCAATGTACCTACTACTTCGTTTATGCTTGGGAGGATATAAAGCTAGCTTTGCATTTTAATACTGAAAATGGGAGTGGTTTTTCCCCGCACTGGTAGCGTAGAAAATTATATTTGAGTTAGAATTCTTGGTTTCAGCACCAGTTACCAAAACATAATTATTGTGCATAATTAAGGTGCAACCTGTATGCTTTTGCTTCTATGCTTGTTTGTTACTGGTATTTTAATTCATTTAGCATTGATTGCCATTAAATATTCTTGCAAATAGGCTCGTGGAGCAAGAGATTGAAGAAGCTAAGCGTATGCTTCAATTGCTTCCTATATGGGCAACCTGCTTAGCCATTGGCGTAGTCTTCTCTCAGTGTTCAACTTTGTTCAACAAACAAGGTGTCAACATGGACAGGCTTATAGGACCGAGCTTCCAACTTCCATCAGCTGCTCTTCAAAGCATCATTAGCATTGTCATTCTTGCTTTCATTCCTCTCTACGACCGTGTTCTTGTTCCCATGACCAGAAATCTTTCTGGGCTTTCCAGTGGCATCACACATCTTAAGAGAATTGGCATTGGATTGTTCTTTTCAGTGGTCTCTATGGTGATTGCAGCTTTGGTGGAGATGAAGAGAGTTGAAACTGCAAGAGAACATGGCTTGATTGATGAGCCAAATGCAACAGTGCCAATGAGCATATTGTGGCTGTTTCCTCAATACATTTTATTTGGCATCATGGATGTTTTTGGAATAGTTGGCCTTCAAGAGTTTTTCTATGATCAGGTGCCTGATGCATTGAGGAGCCTGGGCTTGGCTCTCTATCTCAGTATATTCGGCATAGGAAGCATCATCAGTGGTTTGCTTGTTTCAGTGATTGATAAAGAGACTAGAAGAAAAGGGGAGAGCTGGTTCTCTGACAATTTGAACCGAGCTCATCTTGATAATTTCTACTGGCTCCTTGCAGGACTTAGTGCTGTTTCGCTTGTCCTTTTTGTCTACTTTGCTCGGTCTTATGTATACAAGAAGGAATACCGCAGTAAGTAATGCTAAAGCACCTCAAATTTTATTTACTTTTTGGTTTCCTGAAAAAGGATTGCAGTGTAAAAAGAATGCAAAGATAAAATTAATGTATTGTATTTGAAGCATTTTGTCTGGTTCTATATAAAATAATTGTATGGATTTAATAATTTTTTGTTTGAGTTGAAGAAAAACAAATTCCATGAAAAAAAAATCTGTTGAGGTCGGCGACGGGCGGTCGGCATTAGTATTTGCAGCGGTGGTCGGACGGTGACGGCGGCGGCAGTTAGACGGTGACGATGGCGGCAGTCGGACAATGCTGGCCAGCGGTGGCTGGGGGTGGCGAGTGGCGACTAACATCCAACGACAAGGTAGACAACAGATTGGTTGGTGGAGGCAATTGACAGCGACAATAAGTGGTGTATTGTAGCGGGTTGAGGCAGCAACATCACTTTATACCGATAAGTGTATTTGAAATTTGCTCAAATCTAACAAATTTCAAATATATTAAAAATAAAATAGAGTGTTGTATATTTCTAAAATGGTCTGCCAAACTGGGCCGAACTGAGCCAAGCTATCAGCTACGAACTGAGCTGAGCCAAGTCGAGCTGTCAACTTGCTGAACAGATGAATTGATGAAGTAGTTGAATTGAACCCATCTATCTAGATGGTTAAGTTGAGAACACCTACCAAAGTGAACAAGCTTAGCCCACCCGTCGAAGTGGTTAAGTCAATCCCACCTGCTAAAGTGATCAAGCCGATGTGACAGAACTAAGCTGAATTGCTGAGTTGAGTTACATGGAAAGACATGACTTAACATTATGTACATTTATATATTTTTATATGATGATAAAAGGACACCTCAGAGTTCATAAACAGGAGACATACAAAAACGAAGAAGAAGAGGATGAGAGGGGATAGTCTCTCTCTTTCTCTCCCCTTCTCTCCCCTCGTACTTCTTCTCAATAAGAGCAGCGGGGATAAAATTAATGAATAAAATATTTTAATTATTTATCAATTAGTAAATTATTAAGTACTACAATAAAATAACTTCTTTGCATATATTAAATCACAAATAATATTTTTTTATTAATTACCTTAATATTTTTGTTAATTTATTTTAAATTTTAAAATTAATGAAATTTAATTAACATGGTTTATCTATTTGTTTATTTTTATTATTAATTAATATTTTTTTGAAACTCTATTAAAACTTAATTAGTGTAAGATATTATTCTAATTAATTACTGATTAGCATTTATCTTAATCTAATTATATTTAATATTTTTAATGTACTTAGATTTGATCATAAATAATAACATCATAATTATTTTTTAATAATTATTAACTATTAATCAAAATTTAAAGTTCATGCATCTCTTATTCCCTCACAAAAAAAATAGCTAAAAAGGATCCGTTCTCTTTCTTTGTGTTTGGATTGGTAAAGTGACTTGGCCTTACACGAAAGCCAAAGCCCGCCCAGAAAGCGCCTGACACAAAACCGGTAAATTGATGTAAGGTTGGAACATAGTTAAAAAAGAAAGCCTTTCTACTATCTTTGGCATCGTCGCCTTTTCTCTTTTTTTTTCTCCGAGCCGACATGTTTCTTCTATCACATAGTTTCCTTGTTCTTGAGGATTAATAGAGAATAGGGCCCTTAGCTTCCAAGGATTAGTTCAAGTTTGGATATTTGCTGTTGTTCCTTAGTCTTAGACACATTTTTTGGATCAAAAGGTTATCTGCTTGGTTGACCGCTTCTTTGACTTTTTTTTCTTACTTTTCCTCAACAACACTAAACCCTCATCAACAATGTAGTGAGGAGGCTCTTGAGGTTTAGGGTTTGATATTTTTGCTGTGATTTAAAAATTTAGGTGTTATGTAATTTAATATAAAGATTTCAATGTTAGATTTTTAACTACATAAGAAAATGGTGTATGTTAGAAAGAACTGAAGAAAGAAGAGTAGTGGTAGAAACAGGCAGAGGAAGCTAACCTAGAAAGGAAAAAACAAAGCTGCTATAATATTAGGAATAAGATTTCCAGTTTCCCATCATCTACCATTACAGGGCTCACCTCTGTATATATTAGGAAAGGGAATATTATAGAGAATATGATACCAGTAGGTAGTTAGGATTCTGCAATTATGGAGATGCATGGGAGCAGGAATCGAACAACATAAAAATTGGTCCCAGTTTTTATCCCCCTGCAAGCTGAGGAGCCTTGTCAAGTAACTTGAAGCTTGAATTTGAGAAGATTGAAGCATTGTTTTACCGAAGGTTTAGTAAAGATGTCCACAGGCTGGTCCTGAGTATGGATGTAATGGAAGAGAAGGTGACCGACGCGTATTTTTTTCCTGATAAAATGATAGTCTATTTCAATGTGCTTCGTACGTGTGTGAAAAACTGGATTATTTGCGATAGCCATTGTAGATACATTATCACAGAAGAGAGCGGTGGGAATTTATTGTGCCACTCATAGGGCTGTCAATTTCCAAAAAGCTCGTTGTTCGCTAACAGCTCGTGTTCGGCTCGTTATGTAGCTCGCTTTTTTAAGCTGAAGATGTAAACGAGCCGAACACAAACAAAAGTTTGTTCACTCGTGTTCGGCTCTAATTGGCTTGAAAATAAATAAATAAATATATATACATAATAAATATTCATAAAATTAAATGTTATAAATTATAGTTAATTTAATTTTTCTAACTAAATATATTTTCACATTTTATTAAATCAAATCCTATAAATTATAATATATAATAATTTATTACTAATAATATTTCAATATTAATTATATAAAACAGTGTAATAAAAATTAAATAAATAAAATATTTTAAAATATATGTACCACTAACAAAAAAACCCTAACCGGCCTCCCATTCCATCTCTCGAAACTTCTTTCGTTCGTTCGGCGCCTTCTCCCTCTCCCTCTTGCTAGTTGCAACTATACTCCTCCGACCGCCGCGAAGGATTAGGGCTTGTCGTCTATGCTCTTCTATCTAATCTCTACTTCTCATTCTCGACACTGTTGACTCGATTGATTGGTATTCTTGCTTGTTTGCTCGATAGTCTTGCACGACTGTTGTTTTTATTTGTTCGATAGTCATGCACGACTGCTTGTTTGGAGACCTATGTGTTATCTTTGAGTATCTTTTCAGTAATATTTCATATATATCTTCAGGTATGTCTCTTGTCTTAAACTTTCTTAAATTTCTTTTAGATTTATTTAGATTTTTTAGTGATCTTAGGGCTTGTAGAAGATTTATTTAGATTTAGTAGTTTTTTCATTATAATGTTAGATTTATTTAGATTTATTTAGATTTCCATTATAAAATTAGGGCTTTTGGATTAAGTGAGGTCAACACATTTAGATTTATGTGTATGTAAATCTGATTAATTGGTTTCTTCGTTATAATGTTTAGATTTATATTTAGTACCCACATGATATTCCTTAAGGGGTTTTGGTATGGTATGGAATCACCAGTTGGCTAATATCTGTCTTTAAATGACGCTAAACTGTTACTTTCTTTTTCTCATGCATTATATTCTGCTAATGTTGTAGGCTTTAGTGATTTAATATGCTAATCTTGGGTGTACATGAGGAATGAGCTGTCATTCTTTAACTGGAAATGGTTGTTCTTTTCAGGTCTTTGTTGAATAGCAAAATCTTAAGTTCCCAAGATTGCATTCTAAAGTTTAAGGTGTTAGACATGTAAAACATAAGAATTGACTGGTATGTGTGTAAATTTGCAAAAAAGTAGAATATTTGTGGCCACAAGATTGAAAGGAAAATATGTGATATTGTGTTGAAAATATGATAGGAAAATCTACATTTGGTTCAATATGGTTTCAAATTTGTCATTAGATATGCAGCGTATTCATATACTTTACATGCTTAACACCTGAACTTGATATTTTTTTATACACACATAGATCATTCGACTCTCATGTATTCTTATAACTCAAACATGAGCTTCAATTTTCCCATAAATACTACCTTTATTTATTTCTCAAAGAAAAAAATGCATCTCTGCATATATTGATTCTGAATATCAAAAGGTTACAAATGTAAATATCAAACTGTAGGTGTTAAATATCTAGATGTATAAGAATTGTTCAAAATTACAATTTTGTTGGTTTGGGGAAGATTTGAAAGCTCTTATGACTTGCTGTTTTGACTCTTGCTATGCATAAGTTGAGAAATGGCTACTTGATGCTCTCCAATAGTTGTAGGATTTGTTTTTTTTTTTAAAGTGGCATCTTTATGTGCCAACCACTCTTTTTATGGGCGTTTGCACACACAAATAAAAATGATGGTGTTAGATTTGTGAATTCGAAGGACTTGGTTGTTATGTATGTAAATGCTCCAAACTCTAAACAACACAATCGTGTAAGTTTTGTTTTTGTTCTACTGCTGAAAGACTTTAATTTTGGTGAATTTATTAGACTCATGAGAGTCCGTTTGGGGCTGCTTTTTTGCGGCTTTGCGGCCCGAATCGCGACTATTTACTGTTTGACTGAAAACTTCGCGGCAAAATCAAGTTAACGCGGAAGAAAAGCCCAAAGCAATATCCTCCCCGCGGCACAGCTTCGGAGCGTGAAAAAGCTTGTTTTGCCCCTCAAGCTCTCGTCCCGCCCTCCCGCCCGCCCGCGATCTTCTTTCTCCCAATCTCCCGCGCGCAATTTCTTCCTCCGAATCCTGCGGATCGCCCTTCCGCGCGCTCGTCCCAGTGATCTTCTTCTTCCCCGCGCGCTCGTCCCTTCGTCTCCGAATCCCGTGAATCGCGACCAGGTTTTTTTTCTTCCCCGTGATCTTCTTCCCCCTCTCTTCTTCGGCCTTCTTCTTCCCCCTTCGGCCTTCTTCTTCCCCCCGCTCTTCTTCCGCGCGGAGTACTTCATCCTAATGAAATAATTGTTGACCTAATTGGCTAGTGTTTTGTTGCTCATTCAAGTAGGTTCTAGTCCTCCAACCTTACATTTTTACAAATTTGAGTCAGCTTGAAATCAAATTTGAGCCGGCCTGT